GCGGGGCGGGACTTCCGGAGCCGGGGCCGGGGTTGCATCAGCTTGGGCCGCGCAGGGGCTCCGGCGCCCCCCGGGACCGGGACGGGGGGACCCCGCCCCGCCCCCCCCCAGCCCCGCGCACCTTGCTCGCCCCCCGCGGCTCCCTCCATGGCCCGGGCTCTTCTCCAGCCTCGCTCGCGGCTTCCCGTCCGGATCCCCTCTGGCTCCTCTGCCCCTGCGCCTCCCAAGCTGATGCAACCCCGGCCCCGGCTCCGGAAGTCCCGCCCCGCCCCGCCAGGGCCGCTTCCGGAACACCCTGCGTTGCCAGGCAACCGCCTGACGCCACGCGGGAAAGCGAGGACGGGAGGGAGGGGAAACGCCCCGGCGCGAGGCATGCCGGGAATTGTAGTCTCGGCCCAGAGGAAGCCACCGGCACGGCACGCCCCACCCGGGGCCCAGCTGGGGAAACCTGGGGAGACTGAGACCCGCCGGAGCTTGCCTGGTGGGAAGGGGAGGGTCCTGGTTTGCCCTTCACTCTTCAAACATCTGGGGGAAAAAAGAAAAAAACAACCACCTTCCTAAGGAGAGCATTGAACAGTGTATCACTCAACATTTATTGAGCACCTACTGTTTATCAGGAGCTGCGCCAAGCCCTGGGGAGACAAAAAGAGGCAGAAGACAGGCCCTGTCCTCAGGGAGCTCACAGGCTAACGGGAAAGGCTGGGCCTGCAAACAGAGCCCTAACAAAGCACGCTCTTTCGATATCGGCAGTCCATCTCCTCCTGACCCCATCTGGGGTTTGCCGAAGGCCTTGGCCACTTTCCTCCTTGGCTCATTTTACAGAGGAGGAAAGTGAGGGGGACAGCGAGGTGGCACAGTGGATAGAGCAGCGGCGGTGGATTCAGGAGGACCTGAGTTCAAATCCGGCCTCAGACACATAACACTTACCAGCTGTGTGACCCTGGGCAAGTCACTTAACCCCCAATGCCCAACCAAAAAAAAGAAAAGGAAAGTGAGGCAAACAGGGTGAAGTGACTTGCCCAAAGTCACGTAGCTAGTACTCATGTGAGACCAGATTTGAACTCGTGAAGATGAATCTCCCGGATCCCAAACCCAGTGAGCCACCGGGCTGCCCTGAGAAAGCTACAGTAGATGGGAGATACTTAATAGAGGGAAGGCGCTGGAAATAGGAGGTGGGATTTTAGCTGGGACTGGGAGGAAGCCAGGGAAGCCAGGAGGTGGAGGTGAGGAAGGAGGGCTGCCCTGGCAGGGGGCGGGAACGCCCAGAGATGGAGGGTCTTGTTCATGGAGCAGCGAGAGGCCGGCGTATCTGAACTGAAGGGGAGTGAGGTGTCAGAAACCTGGAAAGGGTGGAGGGGGCAGGTGATGAAGGATATTGAAGGCCAATCAGGATTTTAAATGGGATCAAGTCTGTAGTTGATCCAGAAGGCAACAAGGAGTCGCTGGCGTTTGCTGAGTGGGGACCTGAGCTTTAAGAAAATCTCTTTGGTGGCTGAAGGGAGGATGGGCTGGAGGGGGAGCACCTGAAGGCACATGGCGATGGGGGTCTGCGCCAGGTCGGGCTAAGTCAGAGGAGGGACATGGGGGCTATTCAGGAGAAGGTGTGAGGGCAGATTCGGCAAGACGTGGCATCAGCTTGGATACGGCGGAGGGGTGTGAGAGAGAATGAGGAATTCGGGATGATGCCTGAGGGACTGGGAGGACCGTGCTGCCTTCGGCAGTAACAGAGAAGGCAGGAGCAGAAAGGGTTTGGGGGAAAGATCGTGAGATCTGTTTCAGACATGTTGAGTTTAAGATGTCTACTGGACACCCAGTTCAAGACGGCTGAAAGGCAGATGAGCATATGAAGTAGTAGAGGCCAGGGCCCAGGTCAGAGCCCCGAGGACACCTCTACGGTTGGAGGGCACGATCTGGAGCATGAGCCAGCAAAAGAGACAGAGAAGGAGCGACCAGAGAGGGAGGTGGAGGACGGGGTGGGGGGAGAAGAGGGTGATCACCAACACCAGAGGCCAAAGAGAAGGAGGATGGAATAAGCCACGAAGACACTCCTGGTAACTTTGGAGAGAGCAGCTTAGACGGATGAGATTGGACGCTGGATTTGGGGGAGTTAAGAAGAGAATGAGGGGAGAAGTGGAGGCCCCTATTGTAGGTGGCCTCCTCATGGAGTTTAGCCACAAAGGGCAGAAGCAATGTAGGACCAGAGTTAGCAAGGATGAAAGGATCAAATGAGGGGTTTTTGAGGCTTGGCGAGACATGGGTGTGTCTATAGGCAGTAGGGAAGGGGCCATCCCCAGACAGGGAGAGATTGAAGAGGAAAGAGACTGAGGATAATAGAGGGGGCAATCTGCTTGTGCAGGTCAAGGGCCTTGCCTGGCCAGGAGATGGGGTGAAGGAGGAGATAGTGGCAGAAGACTTATAAGTGATTTGATACGAATGAGGAGGGCAGAAGAAGCAGCTAGTGGCTAATGGCCTCAATTTTCTGTGTGTACTATGAGAAGAGGTTTTCAGCTGATAGGGCGTGGGTGCTGGGGGGGAAGGGCCATGGGAAATTTGAAGAGGGATGAAAAGGTTTCAAAGGGCTGTGCAGAGTGGGAGAGTGAGTGGACGAGGTAGATAGAGTAGGATTGCCGAGCAGCAGGGAGGGCCCCGCTGAGACTGTATAATGTAAATTTGTAGCGGACCTAGCCAGAGAACATTCGCCTGATCTTCTCCACCTTCACTCAGCAGCACGTGTGTAGGAGTGAAGGCAGCCCGTGATCCTAGGCTGGGACTCAGCTGGGCATTCAAGAGAGCAGAGTGGAGGAAAGCTGGCTCATGAGCTAGGATGTCGGGAAACCACCAGTGGTTCAGGTGAACTGGAGGTGAAACGAGTCAGAGGAGTGGACAGGAGCCAAAGAACGAAGGGTTTGAGACACTCGGCTGACACCAGGCTATTCCCAAGGAGGAGGAAGCCACTGAAACTTCTCGACAAAGGAGTGACGTGGACCTGCCCTAGGAATACGAACTTCTATCTTAGCAAGAGTCAGACTGCGCTGGGGAGCATCCCGACAGGCCTGTCATCTCTCCAGACGTCCTCAGTGCCTGCAATGATCCGGCTCACAGCCCATCCTCAGCCACTCTTGTGCACGTCCTCCACACGGCATGCTCAGGAGCCAACCTGTCTGAGCCTGGATGTGAACTCAGGGCTTCTTCACTCCAGGTCACCCCACTAGGCCCCCTCCTTTGGCTTGCAGATGCCCCAGACAGCCACTACTGAGGAGAAGACAGCGCCAAACAGCCCGGGGTCTGAGGGCCTGGCCTTTGCCACGTAGACGTGACGGATGTCACACCGATGGCATTTGGGATGATTCAGCCACAGGAAGTGAGGGCTATGTCTGTTGAGCCCCCAGAGTCGCCAGAGTGGGGAGAAAAGAGCTTAGCTGAGGAGTGGTCCTGCCCACCCCCTGCACCCAAGGGCCAGGCAAGCTCTGGCTAGCACTAGGCTCCAGGCCCCAGCACTCGGCAAACCTGGAACTGTCTATAAATGTTAGCGATCCTGATTAGTGGCGTCATTATTACTGCAACGGCTGCCAAGCTCGACCATCAAATGTTACAGAAATAGAAGTTTATTTTGCCATTAGAAATAAGAAATACAAAGAAATATGAGCCCAGAGAAAGAGGGTCATGGAATACATACAAAAGATAGTGTACACAAAGAAACCCTCTTTGAAATGATTACAAAATAAATGAATGCAAAGTAATTCATACCAAGATAGTTATTGACACATTTGGGTTTTATATAAACTTCATTTAATATATCCCTTTGTAACAAAGCGTCCCTATATAACTAAAAGTATAAAAGCAGCAAAAATAATCAATTCATCAAACATCCGTTGCTAGGCTACTACGTGGGAGGTACCATGCTACAAGCTTGATACTTCATCCTTACAAGGACCCTGAGATAAAATGGCTATGATTCCCATTTTACACTTGAAGAAACTGAGAAAACTCAGAGGTTAAGTGACTTACCTAGGGTCATGTTAGGAAAATCTGAAACAAAAATCTACTACAGTGAGTGAGTGAAGGAAAGTCTTTATTACACGTCTCACAAGAGAAGCGGGCACAATGCACTTTAGTAGCACCATGGGCACTGGTTCAGTGATAGAACCAACTTTTAAACCATTAGTAAGATCCATACTCCACCCATCAGGGATCCTATTGGTCTAGTTCATCTGAGTTACACCCTTTCTGGACAGCCCATCGCATGTTCGTCCATGTTCTGTTAACCCCGCCTACTTCATGGGTCCCATGTTCAAAAATGATGGCTATCTCCGCCCTTAGGGTGTGACAGTGGAGAAAAGCCTTTGCCCTGTCGAAGCCTGTCCTTGAACCCTGCTGCTTGCAACAGGTTTAGCCTCTAGGGCTCTTTCTTAAGGAACTAGTAGTTTACAGGAAGTTTGGAGCACTTTCTGATTGGTTGAGGGATTATCCACAAGATCTTGGAATTTCTCATCCTGCTGTGGAAGCCTAACCCCCTAGAATCTTTCTTACAGGTCATACAGCTAGAAGTTTCTGAGGCTGGTTGTGAACTCGGGTCTTCCTGACTAGATATACGATAACTACGTAAAGAATGGGAATTATACCAAATAGATAAGGAAGGAGTCACGTGTATTTAATTGCACATTATTCGAAGTTCTAATCATGTAAAAAATCACTGACTTCAACTCAGTGGCAATCTGCAGAAGAAATTCATCTGCAACAGTGTCACACATAAGCAGTCTCTCGCCTCTCCAAAGGAGGTACATAAAAATATTTCATTTCTAACGTTCACTTTTTTTGGGCAGATTTTTAAAAATTCATTTTAAACTTAAATACAAAATGAGAAAAGAAAAAAAAAAGAACATTACCATGTACACAGTGATGGGGTACGGGCCCGAGCCAAGACCTCTGCCCCTCACCCCAAAAAGAATTTGGATCCCACTTGTCTACAGGCCCCAGAAAACCCTTAAACTTTTATTCTTATGCCTACCAACCGGCCTTATGGCCTAGGCCCTGTCTCCCTGGCTCTTTGATACCCTAATGCAGCAGAGTTTATTTCCCAGATTTGATCTCATCCAGACCCCATTCAACCTCTTCCTTCCCTATCTTCCACTTCTTTGTTACCCTGATTGAGCCTAGCCCTCCATTATCTATTCCGGATGACCCCATTCAGCCTTCCAGACACTCCCATTGAGATTCTCCCCAAAATCTTCGGGATCCTCCTCCCAGCCCCTGCTCCGAACACCCCATATTACTTGGCTGTATATAAGATCCATCCTGGCCCCCGTTTAAACACAGATTTTCTCTCACCTGCTTGCCCTTATGGGCATCACCAATGTTCAGATTCCTTAAGAGTCTGGCCTATGTGGTTCATATCTAATAAAACCTGGTCTCTGCTAAAAGAAGACTTGGGTCTAATTCATATGGGCAGGACCTGCATGTCGTTATAACCGCATGGTGTCTGATTTCGGGTCCCAACACCCCCAGCATCTACGCCTCAATAGACAGCAGAATACGAAAGGACTCAAGGTAAAAGAATAAATTTCCATTTCAAAAAAACCTACAGAATAAATACCGTACATTGCTTTTAAAGCTGCCCAGTTTGTCTTTGTTCCCTTATAGATTTTCTTTTGTTCTCTGCTGTGCACTTTTTAACTTTATTTCCCCACCCTCCTACCCCCAAGGCTACAATTAAATACAAATACACACACAAATATCTATAAACATACACATATATGTAAGACCATACTATGCTTATTTCCTCCTATCATCTGTTTGTCTGGAGGTGGACAGCATCTTCCTTCACAGGACCAAGTGTTTCCATGTTTTTCAAAATCAACCATATCATCATTTCCTACACCATAGCAATACTCCAAACCAATCACGTCCTATCTGAGAGATTGTCTATTAAAGTCCCCCCCCCCCATTTTCTGTATTCCTTCTATTCTTGGCTACATTGGTTTTCTTTAGACAAGAAAATTTTAATTGAAAATAAAATTATCCATTTTACATTTCAACAATGCTCTCACCTTATAATATAGTCTAATGTCCGGTACTGCTGATCTCCTTTCTTTACGTCTTTTTAACCAAATTCTTGACCTTTTGTTCTTCCAACTGAACTTTGTTATTATTTTTTCTAACTCAGTAAAATAACTTTTTAAGTAATTTAATTGGGATGTCATTGAATAAATAGATTAGGTAAAATTGTGATTTATATTTTTTAAAAAAATTTCGAGTTCCAGATTTTCTCTCTCCCTCCCTTACTTTCTCCCTCCTTAGGATGGCAAGCAATTTGATACAGGTTATATATACGTAATCATGTAAAACACATTTCCATATTAGTCACGTTATACAAGAAGAAACAGACCAAAAGGGGGGTGGACATGAAAAACAGAAAGGGGCAGCTAGGTGGCACAGTGAATAGAGCACTGGCCCAGGAGTCAGAAAGACCTGAGTTCAAATCCAGCCTCAGACACCTGACACCTACTAGCTGTGTGACGCTGGTGTTACAAACACACTTGACAACAAAAATTTAGTGTCAAGAAAAGTTTACTACAGAGAAAGTCCAGAGGATTTAGACATTTCTGGCCGGAAGTGGGCTCCCCCTCTTTTCAGGAGGAGAGAGTCCTGAGTACAAAAGCAAGAGTGCTTTTATGCCGTTAGTTCTGGGTGACACCTCCCAGGCCTGGATTGGTCCATTCCTTCTCAGGTTACAACCTTCCTTAAGCGTTTCATCTATGTTTCCCCCATGATATGTTCAAAGATGTCCCCCTTCCCTCGTCATACGTCCCATGATCCGTTCTGTTAATGAGGCTCTAATTTTATGCAGGGTGTGTCAGTAGTAATGAAGTTCATTAAGCATGCACAATAATATTTTGCTGGTGTCCTCCAGTTGACCTCAATTGGTCTGACCTGGCAAGGGTTGCAATCGGTTTAGCCTCTACGGCTCTTTTCTTAAGGAACTAGTTGTTTACAGAAAGTTTGGAGCACCTTCTGATTGGTTGAGGGATTATCCACAAGATCTTGGGATTTCTCATCCTGCTGTGGAAGCCTAACCCCCGAAAATCTTTCTTAAAGTTGAGTATCTTACTCTCCAAAAACAAAAAAAGAGATGGGAACAAAGTTTCCCTCAAGTGTCTTCTTGCTTACATAAAATCCCTTCATTAATTAAATCATTGAGTATGTTTTGTACCTGCAGAGTGATCATGGGCATTTTGTGGGCAGTGGCCAATAACTTAAAAACAGATGCTGCCCTTCCCAATTTGTTCCACCATGTAAGCAACATCTGGAATTTCTGTTCTTCTGGGTTGGATGGATGTTGTTGCACAGCTGTGGCAATCTCATTTTCTTCTAGTCCCAGGTTTCGCACAAATTCATTCCAATGTTTATGAAGATGACGCTGGAAAATGTAAAAGCTTCTGCTTTTTCCTGAAAGGAAAGAAACAGAAGGAAAACACCCGTTTTTATTCCTCATCAGAATTCTATGTAGAAATATTCAAGCACACTTACTAGCTGTGTGACCCTGGGCAAATCACTGAACCCCAACTGCCTTACCAAAAAGCAAAAAAAAAAAAAAGAAAAAAGACTTAGAAATATTCAAGCACAACTCACCAGCGTCTTGCAGTAAGGGTGAGGGGACATGGGGACATCATAAACACTTGGCAATTTAGAAAAGAAAAACTAAAGTGATTTTTTAAATCTCTTGCTTTCTGGAGATCTCTCTCTCTCTCTCACACACACACACACACACACACACAGACTGACACAAGCCAAATTTTTGTCTCCACTGATTTCTAGGAAGCATCCTGGTCCAGTGGAAGGGAGGAAACTTGGCTCAGCTCCCAATTTGACTATTAACTGTTATAAAGATGATCCCAGACTCAGTTCCAAAGATCGGTGTCTCAAAGACTTTTTATTAAAGAGGTTGAAGTGTGTTGTTTCGATTCTCTTGAGAAGCGGGTGAACTTCCTTGGAAGGAGAGAAAATGTGCAGGGTAAAAGAAGCCAGGGCAAGCTCTATAGTTAGTAATTGCCTAACTCCTCCCTTCTGGATCAGGATTGGTCCTAATCCTTCTGGGTTACAATCTTCCTTATATGCCCCACCCCTAACATACATTATGTGCCTAGAATTGTGTTATCACTCCCCCCCCAGAAGTTAACCTGTCTGTGCTGATTTCTTATATACTTACGTGGAAACTTAACTCTTTCATTTCTCACAATTCCTACTTTTTTTTTAAGTAAAGATTTGGTTTGCACACCTTCCCAATTTCCTTATCCTCTAATCTCCTCAACATGATTTCACATTCTCCATCACTGGGGAAAAGGCTCATTGATACATAAGGTATCATCATCCTTATATTGGCAGAGCCTGCCCTCTGAACTCCCACTGTGGGTCCTACTGGGATAATCTTAATGAGAGATGTCTCTATCAGTTTTTGTACCAGTCCCCTAGTGCATGGAACCATACAACATCCTACAGCAGTTAATACTCCTGAATGCATACAACCGTTCCTTTCCCTTTGCCAAACCAGGATTCTAACTACCCCTTTAATCAGTTATCTATCCCAGAGGTCTCTGCCAACTCCTCAGCTAAAGTGGTTAAAACCTTGCAATGCCTTAGTGATGGTTCTCTCTGGGGCTGTACTTCGGGGCAACATTTCATCAGGGGATTTTGGGGACTTAAAACAATATGGGAGAAGGAAGGGAGGAATTGACCGACGCATTGACAAAGTAAAAAAAGGGCAATCCCCTTATTAAGTGCAGATACAGAGACCCAAAAGTAACGATAAATTGTCCATTTAAAGCTTCACGCGGCTCATACAGCTGTCTGACACTCTGGACATCAGCTGGCGAAGTCCTCTGGTCCAAGTGCTGTTCATACAGTGGCCAGCAGACTGTCTTCTCGTAGAGATCCTCGTTCTTGTGTCCCATTGTGAGAGTCAGGTAAAGGTTATATTTCCATAGAGAAAGAGAATAATTCAGAGATTTAAAGAACAATCCCAGGAAGTAGTACACTGTAGGTGTAGGCTTAACCTATAAGAAGTAAGTTGATGGCTCTAAAAAGACTCCAAATTCAAGATAAGAGTGGAGCCAGCTCAGACCAATTAGGGTCAACCTGAGGACAACTGAAAAATGTTAGTACGCCTGCTTTTTACTATTATCTGACACACCTTGAATAAAATTAGAGCCTCATTAATGAGTCAGGGGATGTATGACCAAGGGAGGGGGAACATACTTGAGCATATCAAGGGGAAACACGTAAGGAGGGGTATAACCCGGGAAGGGATGGACCAATCCGGGCCTGGGAGGTTTCGCGCCAAATTTGGATGTATAAAAGCTTGCTTGCCCTGCACTCAGGGCTCATCCCTCCTGAAGAGGGGTGGAGCCCGCTTCTGGCCAGAACCGTCTAATCCTCTGGACTTTCTCTGTAATAAACTTTCTTGATACTAAATTTTAGGTGTCAAGCATATTTCTAACACACTCTCCTACAAGACTGGTCTCAACACAATGGTTGTATGTGGTAAAAGAAGCCAGGGCAAGCTCTATAGTTAGTAATTGCCTAACTCCTCCCTTCTGGATCAGGATTGGTCCTAATCCTTCTGGGTTACAATCTTCCTTATATGCCCCACCCCTAACATACATTATGTGCCTAGAATTGTGTTATCACTCCCCCCCCCAGAAGTTAACCTGTCTGTGCTGATTTCTTATATACTTTTGTGGAAACTTAACTCTTTCATTTCTCACATTAACTAACTAGACTTGTGACTTGAGAAAGTCACCAAGGCCTTCTGTGCCTCAGCGTCTTCATCAATAAAATAAGGATAAAATAGAGATAAACTCACGGGCCTACCAGCAGCCAGGGGAAGGGCTGTTAGGCTGTAAGCAGAGCTTGGGAAAGCTGCCTGAAGACGCCAAACCAGAGTCACTGAAGAATGACCAGCATCACTGGAGGGACTTTTATCAATCAGTTCAGGCCTCACCAGAACAACAAAAATGAAGCTACTACCTACATCAGTTTATTAATTTAGTGATGAGGACAGGATCTAGAGCCCAAAAAGGAAAAACCCTGGCTTTTCCCAAGTGGCCAAATCTCTGGTATTCGCCTGAGGCTGTAATCCCATCAACCGGCCTTTCACTGTGTCTAAACCCAATCTCCCAATTCTCAGTTACCCTTAACCCAGCCTGGCCCTCTATTGTCTCACCTCCCCCCCACCTTTACTCCTAGCTCAGCTCCATTCTCCCTTGGCCAGGCGGTCAGGGTCCCTGTCATTCTATTACCTCACGGTCCCCACAAACTGCTTGGCCGCTCCTGGGTTCCTCCCACAGTCTTTCTGTATTATAAGGTCGATTCGGTCTCCATTAAGGTGCTCAGATTTTTACAATCTAGCCAATAGCTCATAGATGCTCAGATTCCTTAAGAGTCTGGCTATTCTGGTGGATCTTTTAACAACCCTTGTCTTTGGTTGAAAGAAGGCTTGAGTCGAATTACTTCGGGCAGGACCCACGTGTCATGATCTTGGGGTCCCAGCACCCCTAAACCTCTAGACCTCATCATTAATACCATGCCAAAGACCAGGGGAGTACTTAAAGAAAAATATTAACAAAATACATCTGGAAGAACAAAAGGCCTAGAACTACAAGGCAGATCATTTTTTAAGTGCAGGAATGAGTAGCGAGCACCTGCAGCCCTTGAATTATACTACAAAGTAGTCACCACCAGACTGGCTAAAAATGATAAATTCTAAAAGTTGCTCAGCAAAATAGACTAGATGAAGAAGAATCAGAACAAATCAGACTCAATAACTTAGCATTTGGTAAGCTACAGAAGCCATCCCTATGTGAGAAGAACTGCTAGAAAACCATCTGGGAGAAATGAGGTGTAGCTAAACGACTTGGAGCACAGCCAACGGTATGCTCAGAGTGGCTACGTGACCATGATTGTGAAAGGTCATGTCATTAAAAAAAAAAGGGGGGAAGAGAATGAACTCAGGAACCTTCCACAACTATGGCGGAGGGGTGAGAGAAATGATTATTTTGCTATTATATTAATAACAAATGATTATACCCCAATTCAGGTTTTTTTCTCCTTTATTTCCTCATTGAGGGCCCTGCCCTTGCAGGTCAGTCAGTTTCTGAAGGGTGTGGCTGATTGATGAGATGCCCCTAACCCTTGGGGAAAATGCTTTTCAGTCTTGCATGGGACTTCATCCAACTAGGACACCTTACCCATTAGAATTTAGGGTGACGTAGCTTATGAAGGAGACAACCCGCCAGAGAGGAGATAGAGTCCTCCGTCCAGATTGCTGGAGGCAGGTGAGTCTCAGGATCACGCCTCAGTTCTCAGCAGGAGCTGAAGACTCCTAGCCCACCTCCTCATTAAATGTCCCTCAATCAGGGTTGATTTCTCCTGTCAAGGGTATTCCCTTTCAAAAAAAATGTTTAAGGCATTCAGTGTCTCCATTAGGGGCCTTTGGTTACTGAGAGAAACTACTGACCATCAATTTATTGATTATTAGTTTGCCTAATTAATAAATTGATTTTTAATTGCCCATAAACTCTTGTCTCTTTGTTTGTTTGTTTGTTTGTTTATTTGTAACAGGGGAGAGATCTTATTCAAGCAAGGGATAAAGGTGATTACAAATGATAAAACTGCTATTTAAACTGCATGAAATTGTCTTGAACCATGATCGTGAAAACTCATATCTAGCCCCTGGGAAGTATGGCTATGGATCCGGGGAAGAAAACTCTAAGAAATAATAACAAAAAATCTACTTTACATACGCTAAAATTCACCTTACTTAGAAGAATATTATAGTTTTGATTATTAATAATGTTTGTTCACTACGAGAATTGCGGAGAGAGATGATAATGAATGGAAACCAATCACCCACAAGCTACATTTGTGGTATCCAGGGCCAGGTGTGGCTTAGAACATGGACACCTAAGGTAAAAACACCTGCCTCTGGGTGAAGGATGAGGGAGACATTTGCACCAATGCTTTCCAACACTGGAAAGTATTCTACATCTCATGGGATTGCTTGTAGTCTGGACAGACATTTAGACAACCAGCCTTCCCTCTTGACAGTATCTGCTAATAACAAAAGCAATTTCAAATTTTGCTTTAAAAAAGCCATCAAAAAGTCTACACCCTTTGACCTAGAGATGTCACTGCTAAGCACAGACCCCAAGGAGGTAAAATTCAGAAAGAAGGAAGGAAATAAGCATTTACTAAGCACCTACTATGTGCTGAGTGCTTTACAAATGTCTCATTTGATCCTCACAACAACCCTGCCAGATATCTCATTTTTCAGTTGAGGAAACTGAGGCAGATAGAGTTTAAGTGGTTTGCCCAGGGTCACACAGCTAGTAAGTGTCTGAGGCTGGACAGGTCTTCCTGACTCCAGGTCCAGCTACCCACTGCAACAGTCAGCTGCCTTAAACGAAAGTTCCCACTAGCACAAAAATGTTTATATCAGCACTTTTTGTAGTAGTCCAGAACTGGGGGAGGAGGAAGAGAAGTAGGTAGCTGCTGATTGGAGAATGGCCAGAGAACTGAGGTTCATGAATGTGATGGAATGTGACGGGGGACTACACAGAATTCAGAGAAGCATAGGAAGACTTCTGCAAACTGATGCAGGGTGAAGGGAGCAGAACCAAGTGAACAATGCTGCCAGCAAGGGAAACAAAACCTTGGCTGTTGAGTAATCACAGTGAGAGCAGAAGGAAAGAGCAGAAGACCCCCTGGCAGTGAGGACCACTGGAGAACATCAGCCACGGCGTGGTTGCTTTTCCTCAACTGCTTCCTCTCCTCTTTTTATTCTGTGTGGTTGTCGCTCAGTCGTTGTTCACTCATGTCTGACTCTTCCTGACCCCATTTGGGGTTTCCTTGGCAGAGATACTGGAGAGGTTTGCCATTTCCTTCTCCAGCTCATTTGACAGATGAGGAACTAAAGTAAAGGGTGAAGTGACTTGCCCACGGTCACACTGCTAGGAAGTGTCTGAGGCCAGATTTGAACTCAGGAAGATGAGTCTTTCTGACTCCAGAGCCAGTGCTCTATGCACTGTGGTGCCACCTAGGTGATACAAGCAGTGGCTATCTAGGTAGGGGAAGAGGAGGGATACTTTTAGAAAAGAAGGTTATATAAAAATGAAAGCTATAAATAGAAAATTAAAAGAAGGGCTCAGGGTCTAAGGAAGTCGATGCTTTGTTGGCCTTTCCGCTCACTAAGTCTGCCCAACCTCTCTCCCCCAACGAGAGCTCAGAGAGCCTCCTGACCCAGGCCTGGCTTTAAAGGGATCCCTGGCTTCGAAACAGCCCCCAGCTTTCGTCAATCTACCCATATTAGTACAAATATCCACTTATCACATGTTAATATTCTATGTCCAGACATGAAAATATCAAGCCTTAAAGACAACTCAATATCCTAAGGGTTTCTTCCCAGAACTAAGCCAAAAAAATCCACGCATGTCCACTTTCCATCTTCTCCGACTGGTCGGTGAGAAGCTAGAAGGCACTCCCCGCCAGCTCTCGGAAGCCACCCTCCCCTCCGTGCAGCCACCATTCCTTCCTTGCCACATCGGGTTTTCATATTCATATAGAAAACAAAAGACAAGCCTCCAATTAGAAAGTTCCTCCACAGAACCTATCCCGGTGGGTGCTCACCTGCTTCGGTAACATCCTGCAGAGCATAGTCCTTGGAGAATTGCTGTGGGGAACAGAAAGAACCTTGGGTCATTCAGAGAGAACTGTTCCTCAGGGCCCACCGAATCAGAATTGCTGTGATCAAATGTGTGTTCTGCTGTGCCAAACTGTAAGAGAGGCTTGCCCCAGCTTTCCAACCTCCAAGCCCAGTAAAAAGCCCAGCCTGGTCATTACAGGGACAAACGGAGCTGGCCAGAGCCCCACGGGGTGCTTAAGGCTGCAAAACCAGCCATGCCTCATGAGCAGCAGGGCTTCAACTCCCCTCCAAAAGCCAGAATCAGAAGGGTGATAAGAAGCAGCGTCTCCCTGCAGGGGGAAGGTGCTAGACTGCACATCAGAGAAATGGGCTTATGCTGAACTCCTGCTATGACCTTAAGCATTTCCCTGTCCAGGCCCCCTCTGAAGTTGTTTCTTCCCCTGGAACAAGAGTGGATTGGCTTTGTACCAGGGAAAAGAAAAGCCGCTTAGAGCCAGTAGCTCTGGGTTCGAGTCTGGAATCTGCCCCTCACATCTGTTGTGGTTTGACACAGGAGATCGGTGGCCTCAGTTTTCACCTCTGAAGTCCCCTTCCAGCTGTGAGCTCCACAGAACCAAGGCCAGACCCTGAGGCTGGGTAACCTGAGGCTAATCCCACCTTTGTCAGCAAGGGGGAACTAGGTGACCTGAGGCCAGTCTCTCCTCCTCTCTGGGCCAGTCTCCTCATCTGCAAAGTCCAACCAGCATCTGTTCAGCCTCTGCTAGATGCTAAGCACTATCCTGGAGGCTAGAGACGGAAACCCTATTCTACAGGAAGAAAGCAGGTGCGAAGAGAATAAAACAAAATCCCTCCACAGTAAATGAAGCGGGGAAGCCAGGAGCCCAGGAGAGAGGGGACGGGGCAAGGCCTTGTGGGAGAGGCAGCACTCAAGCCTGGCATCCCCCAGCACACAGGACAAGGCACATCCAGGGGCTGGACGCGCTCACATCACAGCTGCCTGGAGATCGTCGCACAATAAATGCCACGTATTCATAGTACATCAGCTCAGCCCAGACGGCCGGACTGTGCCTGAGCTTAGGAGGATACCTCACAGAGCACAGAGCACATCCCCAGCATGGCCAAGAACACAGGTAACCAGTGAGAGGAACTCTGGACCCATCCCAATTGTGGCCACCCTATAAACCACCTTCAGCTTACCACTGTGCCCCCCTAAAATGGGGCATCCAAGACAATGCTCAGATGGTCTGAGCAGGGTAAAACTTACTGGGACCTCAGGCCCTTCTTAATGAGCCCAAAATTGCATTAGTTTTCTTGGCTGTCTTAGCATACTACTGAGCCACTCTGGGTGTATGGGCCACTGAAACTACCAGATCTTTTCAGGTGAACTGCTACGTGGCCACGGAGCTCCCATCCTGCACTATTCAGTTGACTTTGCCAACCCATGTGAAGACCAAAGGTGATCCCATTAAATTCCATGTCGGACATCATCTCAGCCTGTTGGGGTCCTTGTGGAGCCCGTCTATGTTAGCTATGTTAACTATGTTAGCAACCCCTCCCAGCTCTGTGCCATCTGTGAGAATGACGCCATCTAAGATCCATCTGATCCTTGGCCAAGATGCTAGACAGAAGAGGGCCCAAAAGAGATCAACGAGAGTTTCCTCCACATGTACATAGAACCATCAGCACCCACTCCCCGGATCTGGCCATTCGGCCAGTTGTGAAGGCAGATCTACTCCACAAAGACAGCACAAGACGTGTTGTCAGAGGCTTTAATGAGCACCAGCAACTTTCCCTCATCCAATGGGGAGATGAGCCAAACTAGGGTGTCTGGCCCTGCTCTGCTTTTCCTTTCTTATGCTCACAGACTCTCTGTCCAAGGGCTCCTGCCATGACAAGAAGGTCAGCTTACCCCATGGCTGTGCACCAACTTTCACAGCTACTGAAGGCCAGCTCGGGCAGGTGTGATTGCATGGGCTGACTGTGGCTGGATTCCCACTCAGGGCTAGATTTCTCTGGGGGACAGGGGTGTATGTGTGTTGGGGGGGGGGGTTCAGCACCAGGGGAAAGGTGGAGCGAGGGGACATCACTCACCTCTTCACGGCTCGGGCTACTTGACTCTGGGACTGTAGAGGCTCTGCCATGGGCTTCTTCAATCAGGATACTCGATGTGCTCTCATCCAGGGCCTAAGAGAACAGCAGGGCTGTGATTACTGGAGCGGCTGCTCTTGGGAAAGCTGGACAAGTCCTTTCAAAGCCAATTTCAGTGAAAAGACACCACGGTGGACGGGCAGCATGGGCAGGGGAGAGAAGCCTTGTCCACAAGTGATTCTGACACAAAGCAGAATGCAGGGAATGCTCTGGAGAGGGCCAACGGCCTCCTCTGAGGGTCTGGGGTGGGAGGGATCGCTCCTGGGAAGGCAGGTGGAGAAAGAAGTGGGGCACATCTGAGCTGACCACGGTGGGGAAGGAGGGCATGCCAGGCCCAGGCACTGGGGTGAGCAGAGGCGTGGAGGCTAGGGAGGGGAAGCACCTGGCCTGCCTGGTCTGGGGCCTAGGAGAGGCTGAGCAGGGGCAGACGGGCCTGTGGGGAGCCTGGAATGCCAGGACAGCAAGTGTAGACTTCTTTAGTGGGCACTGAGGAGTCCAGGTTTGTGTACAGTACAATGACCCCCTCACAAATGGGCTACAGCACGAAAGAGCTAGGCCTCTGCCTTTAAAAAGAAACACAGCCAGTCTCGTGGCCTCGTGACCACCGCCTCCTACAAATGGACCTGTCCCAGTGACTGTCAGGTCCCCAGACTGGTTCCATGAGGCCATCCCAAAGCCAGCTGCCATTTGAGACGGGCCCCTACTCTTTCCTCTCTTGGCAAGCTGAGCCAAGGGCCCCCAGAACCATCCTGGTTAAAGCAAAGAGTGAAGAGTTAGCGGAGGACAAATGTCACTCTGGTCTGATGGCCGGGCCCAACCCAAGTCAGATCTGGCACCTCGCTGCCACCCACAAGAAAAGCCCTCTCCAGGGGCAGCTCGGTGGCGCAGTGGAGAGAGCACCGGCCCTGAAGTCAGGAGGACCCGAGTTCAAATCCGGCTTCAGAACAAACGCTTGACACTTACTAGCTGCGTGACCTTGGGCAAGTCACTTAACCCCAATTGCCTTAAAAAAAAAAGTCCTCTCCAGTGCCTTTGGGACTTGTCCTCCCCCCAGGACAGGAGCCACTTAGCCCAATCAGCCTGGTCTTGGCCCAAACTGTGTGTCTGTCTGTCTGTCTGTCTGTCTGTCTGGGGGTGGGGGAGGAGGCAGGAATCTTGGACCAGGACATAGAGAAGGTGCCCAAGTCATCAGGGGCCTCCTCTCAGCAGGAGCTAAGACCGCTTTGCTCCAATCAGCTTCCCCTTGATTAGAGACCCTGACTTACCTTTCTGCCATCCACACCAAGGGAGCTACAAAGAAAGGAGAAGTAGGAGAGTTAGTGCTGCTGTGACCCTGGGGTGCGAAGCAAGGAGCCTCTGGGACAGCTGGGAGGATATTGTCCTTGGACAGGCTGGGCCACCTTAAGGGCACACCAGGGCCAGAAATCACCTCCCCTTGGCCTGAGCACTCATGCAGCTTAGCCCTGGGACGAACCACCAGTGGGGTCCCTTCCCACTCTTCTGACAAACCAGAATTCCTTTTATGTCTCTCGACAGGGGTCACTGTGTTCCTCGGGAGCCTCTCAGCCATCACCCTAAGACTAGGCACCGTGTTGAACTCTCGTGGAGCCACCTTGGACAGACGCCCTTCCTGCCCCACCAGGACCCTGCAGAGCCAAACGGGCTCAAAGTAGAGCTACCCACTTCACCTTCCAAGCCTTCCTCAGCCCCAGCAAGGGGTGGGAGCAGATGAACTTGTACAAGCTACGTTTCTGCTTGCTGCCAACAACCCCAAAACCAAGCAAGGAGGGAACGTCACGAACACTGACCCCTCCCAGCCAAAGGCCCAGCATTTACCGTTGCCGATTCCTGTAGCATCTGTAAACCCAGCAAACCACGCCAATGCCAATGCCAATGCCAAGTAAAACCCAAGGCACCGGCATGCCAACCACGTTGGATGGGCTTTCTACCAAGAGAAAAGCAGAGAATGAGCCTATGAAGGAGAGGCTAAAGGCCACCCATCCTCAGCCCATCGGTTACTTCACTCCTACCTGGGACAGTGGGCGAGTCTCCTCTGGAGGTGAAGCCTGGCAGGAGGAGAATGAACATGTCACTGTGGCTTAGTGGAAAGAGCCTTGAACTATGGTCCAGAGACCTGGGTTCAAAGCACGGTTCTCTTTTTAATGGACCATGGGGCCTTGGGATGGTGGTGCTGGTGAGCTGGAAGAGATGACTGCCAAGGCCCTTCCCGGCTCCAGGCATCACTGGGTGCTTTCTTAATGGGACCCAGACACACAGGCCTAGGGAGGAGAAGGCCCGGCCCCACCCAATGGGACGGGGGCAGCAACTTTAGAGGCGAACTTCCGACAGTTCCCCAGGCCAAGGGGGCCCAGAGCTGCTGCTGGAACTGATTCCTCTGACATGGGGGCTAAGAGCTTCCTTTCTCAGGTTCCCTACAGCACCCAGACTGACAGCCACGATCCACCTTCCTGAGGGAGCAAAGTGCCCTTTGGAGGCAGAGGACCTCAGTTCAAATCCTGCCTCAGACTTCGGGAACCTCGGGCAAATCAGGGCATCTGTTTCCTCAGTTGTCATGAAAACTGGCTTGGAGGGCCCGGCCCGTGACGCCCCCTCCGGCTGTAGGGCTTTCTAGGGACAGGAGGCGGGGACTGATGGAGGCGGGGCTTCTATCTCCTTCAGGTGTGGGCCCTCTCGCTCTGAGATTTGGGGGTGGGCAGTGCAATCAGGGTCAGGTAGGCTGGGGCTCTGGGCTTGCACAGCCACAGGGGGGCGGTAAGGCAAGGCTCGCTCTGGTCCTCTTCCCGACTGACTGCAGGGCTCCAGAGGGACACCCGTGTGCCTTCTGCCACAGAAGTGATCCACTTCCTCGTCACCTGCTCACCTTACCTGAGCCAGGCACCCCACACAGTGTGTCAGCTGTAGCGTTGCATTTTTGAAGAATCTGTGTTCCTTCTGGGCACCTGAGACCAGAGAACAGGGAAGGCTGCTGCACCCCACCTTCCCGGCCCCCTGCTTCTGGGACGATGATGCTCCACTGAGGCCCTCCCCCACCCCAGGGGCCAGAGCCCGAGGCCAACTGTCTTCCTTGAACCCAGGCACGAAGGGATGTCTCCCCCTGGCGGCTGGAACACCTTCACTTACTGCAATCCTGTATGTTCAGGGTGAGCTGGGCTGATCAAGGCGGTGGGGCCATTCAAGAGGCCCCATAGCCAAGCAACCGTGCACATCCCGGTCTCAGGCCATTCACGTCAAGCTCCGCTACAAAGTCTTCTGCCTGGCCCCTGGGTAGCTCTCCTCCCTTTCCATACTTCACCCCCTCCACACTGCCGGAGCCAGGCCCGCCCGGCTCCTCCCTGCCCCTCTCACAGACGACTTATCCATCCTCTCTGCCTCGGCAGTTCATGACCCTCGTGCTGAAGTGCTGTCCTTGGCATAGGGTCTGAACACAACACACGCTCCCTCCTCTGCAGCACCGGGTCTCCATACTAACTCCCCCTAAACCCGGGGGCCACATAAAGTCCCTCTTCTGCAGCTAAGGGAACTTCTATTAGGCCAGAAGTTAGTACTGCCATCCCATTGGCTCCAAGCCCCCAGGTAGGACATTCTCCCCATTCAAGCAGAGACTGGGCTTTCAGCTTTCATCTACATTTCTCTCTCCCCCCTGTTAGCCCCTGGCCTCTTGTTGGTGGAAGCAAAATTCAGATGACAGAAGGGCTTGGGCAGAGGCAGCCTGGCAGAGCACAGGATCTCTGGATAGACCAGCAGCTGGAGGGGCACAAGTGGGGCCCTCAGCCCAAGCCTCCTGCTCCAAAATGCAGGGGAGTCCCTGGCCCTCCCATCTCACCCTTCTCTGCCACGGCTCACTCCTATGTCCTCTCTTTCTTTTCCAATGATTTCTTGTTTTGTATTGAGAAAATGTCAATAAACCATTATCAGTGCCTGCCACATAGTAGATGCTTTTTCCTTTCCTTTCCAATGACTGCCCTGGGGAGGCCAGGTTTTTTTTTTTTGGGAGGCCAGGTCTTTTGGGGTTCCCTTCAGATGTCCTCACTCCTTTCTTTCTGCTACCACATACTTAGACTCTCTCTCCGGTTTTGAGTGCTTTCCTGCTTTCATTCCAGCTTCTCAACCAGTGACACAAACCTCCCCCCCCAATTCTCCAAACCCCACCCAATCAGAGCAGGCCTCCTCTGGCCCTTAGTTCTGATTAGTCGCTTCCATCAAGAAACCACCCCCCAACAAAGGTAACTACATTCAAATGGAATCAGACCATCCGCAATCAATGCTCCCCAAACCTTCAGGACTCACTTAAGCTCTACCTTCTCCATGAAGCCTTTCTTTCTGCACCCCTGCCCACATGCAGCCCCCCAGCCCACCCCAGCTGTGAGCATGGTCCCTCCCAAGACTAACAGAGAACACCTACCTCTCTGTGCAGCGCTGGCATATCTCACAGTCTGGGGCCTCACAATAATACTGCTCTTTACACTGGCACTTGGTATCGATACCCCCAAAACAGGGACCCAGCATCACTTGGTCTGCCAAAAATGGAGAGGTTTGGATTAAGGTAATCCCAGAGGGCTGTCGAGCCGGCCAGATGCCATCCCAAGGGGAGTATCCCCAGAACAGTAAAATGGCCAGAAGCGTGCCTTTGGCTCGCGTGGCCGGCCAGCTGGCTGGATGACCTCGGCACTCCAATACGGCAGTTGGGAGTGAGGCTTCCCACCCACACGTCAGGATGCCAGACGCTCCCCCACCCAGGAGCTGCTCTTCCAGTCTACCTGGACAAAAATGCCAGCACCCCGGGACACGCTGGCAGGATGCTGTTCACACTGAACATAGCTCTGCCAGGCCCTGAAGCACATCTACTGTCTGCTGCATCCAGCCTGCCTGTCAGCACGTGGGGCCCACCGCTCAGCTGGGCGGTCAACTGGAGAAAGCGCTAGGGCTTTCTAGAGTCAGGAAGACAACTCAGGTTCCAATCCAGCCACAGGCACTTACGAGCTCTGAGACTCTGGACAAAGTTGGGCTTGCCTCAGTTTCCTGAGAATCAAAGGAGGGATTTGTGACCTTTAAGGACCATACGAATGCTCATTCTTGCTACTGTCGTTGTTGTTATTATTACTGCCCAACAGCGGCAGGCCCTGCAGGAGGCTGTGCCCCGCTGGACCCCGGGGCCCCTCACACCAGGGCAGGGCAGGGGAGATGCCACGTGCAGCTATTTGTTATGCCCCCAATCGAGTAAATGCTTATTAAGCACTTTACAAATACCAGACCCTATGCCAAGTACTAGGGATACAAAAAGAAACCAAAAACAGTCCCTGCCCTCAGGGAGCTTACAATCTCATAGGTGAGTTTGTCGTTTCGTGGTTTCAGTCATGTTTGTCTCTTTGGAATTCCTTTTTCAGGTTTTCTTGGTAAAGATACTGCAGTGGTTTGCTATTTCCTTCTCTAGCTCACTTCACAGATAAGGAAACTGAGGCAAACGGGGTTAAGTGACTTGCCCAAGGTCGCACAGCTAGTACATGTCTGAAGCTGCATTTGACTTACATCTTCCTGACTGCCAGCCCCAGCACTCTCTCCGCTGTGCCAATTAGCTGCCCACAATAAACGAGACAATGTGTTAACAAATATATATAGTAAGCTATATATAGGATAAATAAGAAATCATTAAGAGAGGAAGGCACTAGAATCAGGAGGGGTTGGGGAAGGCTTCCTGTGGGAGGTGGGATTTTAGTTGGGACTTAAAGAAAGCCAGGGAGGTCAGCAGTCTGAGCAGAAGAGCGAATCCCAGGCATGGGGGACCACTCAATGGTTGGGTTTCCATTCCTCCCAGAAAAGGAGGAAAGGTACAGTGAGTGTGACTGGGCCTGAGGCAGTGAGGAATAGGGCAGATAACGTCCCAATTCCCATCACATGGGGTGGCCTCAGCAGCAAAGCACAGATGAGAGTCTGGGGAACGGAGCCAGGTGGACGCCCCTGGCAAGAGGTTGAGGGGAATCGGGGTCCCTCGGCCACATTCTCTGAGCCTCAGAACTAACCTTTCCCACCCAAACTTCTGGGCCTCTCTTCTCCCGTTTGGACCACTCCAGAATCAGTCCAGCTCTCACCTCTGACAGGGGAAAGGCTGAGGGGCAGGTCACATCTCAGAGGAGCAGCCTCTGTCCTGTTGCTGGTGCCCCTACTGCCCACCCTTCCTGGCACCCAGGCTGCTCCCCCAGGGATCAGGGGAATGTTACAATCAAAGGGACCTTTTTTGGACTCTTGCTGACCTTTAGCAGCTTGAAGGACAATTCAAAACTCTCCAAACCCTACCCTCAATCGCCACACACACCCCCTCCCCCTAGCCCTGATGGGTTGTTCTCTGGAGGGAGCAAGTGGGCCACGCCCGGGTGATGCTCTATGACACGTCCCTGCCCACCCAGGTCCTCTTGTCCATGGAGCCAACTCTTCCCCCCTCTCACCCTTCACATTGGACAGCTAAGGCTTAAAGCAGAAGGATGGGGACAGTGGTTTGCCCACAACGCCCAGCTCTGACTCAGAGGAGATCACTCCTCCGGACTTGGTGCCCAGGTCCTCTGGCCTGGCCTCTCTCTCCTCACGGAAGCTGTGGCTCTCCAGCTCAGCCATATACTGACCTTCTCTGCACTGGGTACACTGTCTGCAGGTATCCAGTCCATTTTTAAGGGAATATTCTCCAGGTGGGCATCTCTCACAGATTCCAAGCGTGTGGGGGGTGGTGCAGTGCTTGGAGACCCGGGTGCCTGTGTGAGGAGGTAACAAAGGTTGAAAAAGACTCAGTAGTTACAAAGAGTCAAAGAGATGGGCGTACGGAGCCAAGATGGTGGAGAAAAGACATCAACTTGCCTCAGCTCTCCCCAAAACCTCTCCAAACAACCTTAAATGATGCCTCACAACAAATTCTAGGTTGGCAGAATTTACAAAGGGATGGGTTGAAACAATATTTTAGCCCAAGACAATTTAGAAAGTCGGAAGGAAAGGTCTGTTCCACCTGGGTGAGAGAGGAATGCAGTCCAGGACAGTCAATGCCAGTGCAGACCTGGCCCTAGCAAACCAGCAGCAGGCACTGGGGACAACTGGATCAGTGGTGGCAATGGCGGTTTCCAAACCTCTCAATCTACAGTTGGTAAGGGGGTCAGACAACTGGTCAAAAGGAATTACAGGGGCAGCTAAGTGGCACAGTGGATAGAGCACCGGCCCTGGAGTCAGAAGGACTTGAGTTCAAATCTGGTCTCAGACCAGACACTTGATACCTACTGTGTGACCCTGGGCAAGTCACTTAACCCCACTGCCTAGTTAAAAAAAAAAAAAAAGTATTACAAGGGTCCCTTTGCTGGCACCTGAGGCAGGGTTCTATTGCATTGCCCATACTTGGCTTTGGGTCCCAGTCCTGGGTCTCAGTCCTAGGGCGAGGAGGAGCACGAGCACACCAGAGCTTGTGGCTGCAGAGAAGCCAGCCCCAGCTCCAGGGAGGAAAAGAGTGCTTGTGGTTGCTCAAAGAGAAGAGCACAGGCCAGGAGAGTGGTAAACACACCTCTTCCTAGTTCATGCCACCTTGGAAGAACTGAAAACTTACAGGTCCCCAGATTTACCTCTGAAAACGGCTGCACAAAAAACCTGAAGCTTGGGATGGTGCCTCCTCCACTTGGGAAGCACAGCCCCACTTTCGCGTAGAGTTAAAAGTCAAGAAATAGGATGGAAAAATGAGTAAATAGCAAAAAAAAATCTTGAATATAGAAAGTTACTCTGGTGACAGGAAGATCAAAATGTAAACTCAAAGAAGACAATAAAGTCAAAACTGCTACATCCAAAGCCTCTAAGAAAAGTAAGAATTGGTCTCAGGCCATGGAAGAGCTCAAAAACGATTTTAAAAGTCAAGTAAGAGAAGTAGAGGAAAAATTGGGAAGAAAAATGAGAATGATGCAAGAAAATCATGAAAAAGAAATCAACAGCTTGGTAAAGGAGGCACAAAAAAATACTGAAGAAAATGATATCTTAAAAAACAGACTAGGCCAAATGGTAATGGGGCACAAAACTCCAATGAAGATAAGATGCCTTGAAAAGCAGAGTTGGGGGGCAGCTAGGTGGCGCAGTGGACAGAGCACCGGCCCTGAAGTCAGGAGGACCTGAGTTCAAATCTGGCCTCAGACCAAACACTTGACACTTACTAGCTGTGTGACCCTGGGCAAGTCAGCGATTGCCTCACTAAAAATAAAAAAAAAAATTTTTAAATTAAAAAAAAAAAGAAAAACAGAGTTGGCTAAATGTAAAAGGAGGTACAAAAGCTCACTGAAGAAAATAATTCCTTAAAAATTAGAATTCAGCAAGTAGAAGCTAATGACTGCATGAGCCATCGAGAATCACTCAAACACAATCAAAAGAATGAAAAAAAATAGAGAAAATGTGAAATATCTCATTGGAAAAACAACTGACCTGGAAAATAGATTGAAAAGAGATAATTTAAAAATTATAAAACCATAATCAAAAAAAGAGCCTAGACATAATTTTCAGGAAAGTATCAATGAAAACTGCCCTGATATTCTAGAACCAGAGGGTAAAATAGAACTTGAAAGAATCCACCAATCTCCTCCTGAAAGAGATCCCAAAATGAAAACTCCCAGAAACATTGTAGCCAAATTCCAGAGCTCCCAGGTCAAGGAGAAAATACTATAAGCAGTCAGAAAAAAAACAATTCAAATAACATGGAGCCAACAGTCAGGATAACATAAGATTTAGCAGTTTCTACATTAAAGAATCAGAGAAGGAGCAGTTAGGTGGCACAGTGGATAGAGTACCAGCCCCGAAGTCAGGAGGACCCGAATTCAAATCTGGCCTCAGACCAAACACTTGACACTAGCTGTGTGACCCCGGGCAAGTCACTTAACCCCAACTGCGTTAGGAAAAAAAAAAGAATCAGAGGGCTTAGAATATGATATTCTGAAGGGCAAAGGAGCTACAAAGGATTACAACCAAGAATCACCTACCTCAGAAAATGGACATTCAATGAAATAGAGGACTTTGAAACATTCCTGGTGAAAAGACCAGAGCTGAATAGAAAATTGGACTTTCAAATACAAGACTCAAGAGAATCATAAAAAAGGTAAACAGGAAAGAGAAATCATAAGAGACTCAATAAGGTTAAACTGTTTCCATTCCTACATGGGAAAATGGTACCTGTAGCTCCTAAAAACTTTCCCATTATTATGGCAGTTAGAGGGTGTATATGTGGGGAGCGCGCATGGCTGTGAGTTGAACAAGATGGGATGGTGTCCAAAAAAGTACAAAATGAAGGGATGAGAAAGAGGAATGCACTGGGAGAAGAGGAAAGAAGAGGCAGAACTACCTAATTATCTCACATAAAAGAGGTGCAAAAAGAACTTGTACAGTGGAAGGGAAGATGTCTCAATTTTCTCACATCTCCTCCAACATTGCCACTTTCCTTTTTTTGTCACGTTAGCCGATCTGATAGGTGTGAGGTGGTACTCCAGGGCTGTTTTAATTGGCACTTCTCTAATTTAAAGCACTTTTTTCACGTGACTATAGATGGCTTCGGATTATTTTGTCTGAAAACTGCCTGTTTGTATCCTTTGACTATTTATCAGTTGAGGAATGGCTCTTATTTCTACAAATTTGACTCAGTTCTCTCTCCATTTGAGAAATGAGACCTTTATCAGAGAAATTTGCTGTAAAAATTTTTCACTGTTATGATTACTAATGCATTGTTGGTGGAGTTGTGAAATGAGTCAACCATTCTGGAGAGCAATTTGGAACTATGCCCAAAGAGCTATAAAACCGTGCATATCCTTTGACCTAGCAGTATCACTGCTAGGTCTGTAACCAAAAAGAGATAAAAAAACAAAAAGGACCCGCACGTACAAAAATATTTATAGCAGCTCTTTTTGTGGTGGCAAAGAATTGGAAATTGAGGGGATGCCCGTCCATTGGGGAATGGCTGAGCAAGTTGTGGTATATGAATGTAATGGAATATTATTGTGCTATAAGAAATGGTGTGCAGGATGCTCTCAGAAAATCCTGGGAAGTCTTACACGAGCTGACGGAAAGTGAAATGCGCAGAACCAGGAGAACACTGTACATAGTAACAGCCGCATTGTGTGATGACTGACTTTGATAGACCTAGCTCTTCTCAGCAATGCAAGGATCCAAGACAATTCTGAAGGACTTATGAAAAAGGCTATTCATCTCCAGAGAAAGAACTGATGTAGCCTGAACGCAGACTGAAGCAGACTTTTTCTTTACTTTCTTTATTTTTCTTTTGTCTACATCTTCTTTCACAACACGACTAACGTGGAAATATGTTTTGCAGGACTGCACATGTATAACGTGTATCAAATTATCAACAACAGGGGAAGGGATGGAGAGGGGAAAAGAATTTGGAACTCAAAAATTTTTTTAAATTGTTTTTTACATGTAGTTGGGGAGAAATAAAATATTAAATTTTCTAAAGAGTCTAAGACAAAATGCCACCTGGTTACAAAGCAGAAGATTCCCTTTTCAGTGTACCCAGTATACCAGTGCCATAGGTCCTCACCCCCGAAAAGAAGGGAGGGAGGTGCTTTTTGTCAGCTTTTCCCCAGGGCCAGTCCAGCTCCTTTCAATTACCCAGAAGCCCCTCTAAGATCATTGCTCCTCCCCACTGATGCTGTTGGAAGCCCTCCTGACTCCGCTTGCCTCACTTTACATCAGGTCTCCTTCCTCTTCCCAGGCTTCTCTCTCCTCTTCCTACTTGTATCCTCCCCACCTTCTAGTAGCAGTCTGTTTAAAAAGCTCTAATCAACATGCCTAGTCCTTAGGCACCACAAAAAAGATGGACTGCTGTGGGACCATCACCGTCTCCTGTGTCTGGGGAGCTTCTTGCTACCCTGCCCCCGCTGGGGTTTAGGCCCATCATTGGGAGGGAGCTCTGGGTCACAGGATCTGTAGGGAGAGCTCAGTGATCAAATTCCACCCAGAAATCCAGCACACCCTCACCACGTCCCATCCCCAGCAGCACCTCTTCTGTCCCTGTTCTTGTCTTCCCATACGTTCTCCAATATCACAGCCAGACTGAGAAAGACTTGGAAGACCAAACTGACCAGTTTACAGATCTTCCTAAGGGCAATAGGTAGCCACAGAAGCTCCTTGAGCAGGTTAGGTTTGGGCATGATCAGATCTGTGGAAGATGGATTGGAGAGGGGAGGAAATGAAGACACCTCAAGCCGCCAGAAGAAATCGATTGCAGTGAGTCAAGCGAGAGGTGGCGAGGTCTGAAGGAGGGCAGAGGAGGGGGCTTCAGGCGGTGTGGAGAAGGAAGAAGGGAGCGGCCATCCCTAAAAGCAGGGGTGGGCATTTCCTCCCCAGGTTTAGAGAAGGGTCCGCACCAATGCAGAAGAGGGAGGAAAGAGGCATGGAGAGTTCAGTGAGCAGCGCCTTGTGGAGCCTGGATGGACCAAAGGCTGCAAATGCCAGGCTGAGGAGTTGGTATTTTCACCTAAAGGCAGTTGGGAGCTGCTGAACGTATTAGAGCAAAGGGACTGAGAACAGCTGGGGTGCCTTACCCCAGGCACGCGTTAAGCCTGGACAGCCTTTGAAAACTTCAATGAGTGCTAGAAACTGCCAGACTGATTGGAAGCCTCCAGAGGCCACGGGAGAGGACAGCTGGACAGCAGGGTCGGGGTGAGGCAGCTCAGTGACAAGGGAGGGAGGGAGTCCCTCACCTGTTGGGCAGTACAAGCAGCAGCGGTCTTCATGCCAGTATTCCTTTTTAAAGGCACAGGTGCTCCCTGGTGCTCTGTCATCTCTATTGAACAGCAGGGTTGACTTTGGTTTTCTCATAACCTGGAAAGAGACGAGATCTTTTCAAGATAAAGAAAGTCTGAAGGCTGCTCTCCTCCCTTGAAGTCCTGCACATCTGCCTAAAATGGGCATTTTTTGGCATTATTTTTTTTTTAGAGGGTCTCAACTTGCCAAGGATCCCTTCAGTTTCCAGGAGCTTCCCCAAGCCAGAGGCTGGCTCAGGCCACAGGATCCTTTTCTCCTCTGTGACTAATGCCTGGCTCACTCATCAGGCTCACTCACCACCAGCCTCTGCTCTGGTTTAGGCTTTTGTGCATCTCTGGAGGATCGAAGAGATTGGCCTTGGTGGGCTGGCCAAGCAATGCCAAGTATGGCACCAAAGCCCAGCCAGGCTGGCACAGAGACCAGAAGGTCCAGCCAAGGGCTGTGACCACAGACGGGGTAGGTAGGTGGCTCCCAGGAACACAAGCCTCAAAGGCACTCATTGTAGTTCACAGCATGTGAATAGATGGAGTTCCGAGAGAAGGCCCCGGTCACACCAATGTAGACAAGCGTGTGGGGGGAAGTTCTTCCTCCCCAACCTTGCTTCATGCTCTTACTGTTTTGGGCACCTCTGATTCCGTTAGAGGGGAAAGTCCCTTTACCTTGGCGTGGGAGCAGCTCCCTTGGAACTTAGTGCCTGTGGGCATCGAGGGCTTAAGAGGCCTGCCCCACATCTTAGATGGTAGGTAGGGGTGGACAGACTTGAACCCAGGACTTCCTGATGCCGAGGGCAGCCCCCACAGGGTAGCTGTCCCACCCTGCCTCTCACTTCAGGAGATCTAGAGGCCAAAAATGGCATCACCAGACCAAGCTGGGGATGAACCCCCGACAACCTAGGAGGTAAGTGCTATTGAGTCTGTGTCTCAGATTGCTTTAGCCACGAGGGAGAATTTACATCTTCCACATAAGAGGCAGCTAGGCGGCCCAGTCAATAGAGCACCAGCCCTCGAGTCAGGAGGACCTGAGTTCAAATCCAGCCTCAGACACTTACTATCATGTGACCCCGGGCAAGTCACTTAACCACCCCCAAAAAATAACTCCAATGACAACATCAACTCCCAGATCAGTAGGGACTTACGGTTTATTTACTTAATTATTTAAAAAAAAATTTTTTTTGAGTAGGCAATGGAGTTAAGTGACTTGCCCAGGTTCACACAGCTATTTGGTGTCATGTGTCTGAGGCCAGATTTGAACTCAGGTCCTCCTGAATCCAGGACCGGTGCTCTATCCACTGTGCCACCTAGCTGCCCCACTTAAGGTTTATAAACCAGAGTCCTCCCAATACTTCTGAAATGTGGGAGTACATGTTTGATTATGCCCATTTTACAGATGTGCAAAGTGAGGCTCAAAGAGATTAATTCACTTGCCCAAGGTCACAGGGTTAGTCAAGTGTTTTGGAACCCAACTCCAATTCACTTTCTCCATTAGACTAGAGTAAGCTCCAGGCAAGACTCCCCTACTTGTGGAAGCTGAGTCTTCAGTGCTTAGGGGCAGGCTCTAGAACGTGGAGGACAGCACTCCAGGGACCTCAACTGTCCTCCACCCCTGCTTTTCCAACCACATGCCAATCTAATCCGAGAAGTGGATTGGGGAAGGTCTCCTATGACCACCTCTTTATCTGCCAGGTCCCCTGTCCCAAGTGTGGGTGCTCCAAGGCCAAGATTGGGGCATCTCCTCTCCTCTCTCCACACTCTCCTGAGGATTTTACGCCTCTAGGCAGACAGTCCCCAAAGCTTTATGGCCAGCCCAGATCTCTGTCCTTTGCTCCAGTCATCTTCCGGATTGACAACCCCACCCAGATGTCTCAGGGATATGGCAGACTCAAGATGTCTGAGAAGGGACTCAGCTTTTTCTGGATCTCACTCATTTCAGAGGACCGTTATCCATGGCTCGTCAGCTTCCTCCATCCCTTGGGCCCTCCACAATCCAACCACGAGGCAAAAACCCTCAGACCCCCGAGAAGCCACAGTGCAAAGAAACCCTCTGAATGGGAGAAAGGTCAGAAATCCTTCAACCTACTGGACCTCAGAACATTTTCATTGACTGGGGACTTTAAGCGATGTTAAAATGAGCCTGTCCCCTTTGCTCTGACTTTTTGATGTGGCTTAAATTTCTGCTTCCTGGGCATCTGATGATTTTCACACCCGGATGTCCCACCAGACATGGGCAAAACAAGAACCATGTCCCCTATAGTTCATCTTCCATGGTGCCTGTGAGGAATGGGCAAGGTAATTTTTGCCCTCTTTCAGTGGGGCCTCTCTGTGGGGGCATGGCCAATGCCAGCTCCCCCTCCAATTTCCAGGGATGGGGAGGAAGGGGTCCTCTCGCCACCCCAACCCTGCCCCAGGCAGTGACAACTGCCAAGTCCTCAGCACAGGGTCATAACAGCACCTCGTGTACGCCTGGGGAAGCCCAAGACTGGAGCTCAGGTCTCTGGCTGCTGATTCTGTATTTCCTTCCCCAGCGCCTTCGGTGAGTAGCTGGGGCACACCCCCTCCCCCCCAAAAAAGAGCAGGATTCTATACCTTAAGAGATGAGAGAACCATACCCTGGTTGGGCAGAAAAGGGGGGCTGCTCAGGCAATACTGATCCAATGAACACGAAACATATATTCAGATGTTCCACAAGATTCCTGGAGGTCCTCACTTCCCCAGAGAGTCAGTGTTAGAGGAAGGGGCTGCTGTTTCATGTTTCAAGCATTTGTTAATGGTTCTCAAGGAGTCTTTGGTGTTTTAAGCATTTCTTCTACTGTGAAGGAAATAAATAGCCTTCCTATACTGGATGGATACTTACTGCTCCAGATGGGGAGTCAGAAGACCTGATTTCAAATCCAGCCTCAGATACTTACTAACTGTGTGACCCTGGGAAAGTCACTTAACTTTTGTCTGCCTTAGGCTCCTCATCTATAAAATGGGGATAATAATAGCCCCTCCCTCCCAGGGCTGTTGGAAGGATCAAATGAGATCAAATTTGTAAGGTGCTTAGCACAGCCTGGCACATAGTAAACACCATATAAATGTTGTTATTAAACTATAACCAACATGTGTTAAGTACCTACTGTGTGCTAATAGCTGGCCATTCAAAGAGGTCAAACAAACCAAAAAATCTAGCCACCGCTATCACTGAGTGCACAGTTAAAGGAAGGGCTCCCTCTTGGGGAAACCCTAGACCTGAGCCATCCTTAAACTTTGTTGTCAAGATTTTCCAAGAGGATCTCCTTTGGGGTGAGGCAGTGAGTAAGAATGAATGATTCTCGATTCCCTCTCTTTGGGGTCAGACACCCCCACTCTCCCCAGGACTGAACCTTCAGGTCTGCATGAATCCTGAGACTAGGGTCCTTTGGTGGTAAGGACGGCATGTCACCAATGCTTTGGGCTATGCGTAACACACATCTATCTTGTATTTACTTATCTGTGAACACGATTTCCCCCAGTACAGCGTTCCTTGCACTGACTTTTTGAATGTCTCTCCCGTGCCCAGCACAGTATCTGACACACTGTAGGTACTTAACACACATCTGTTGACCGACAACACCACCAGGGGATGTCCTCCCTCCATCCTGAGATTTTGCCTTTGCATAGGTTAACCATTTAGATTCTCCACGTACATCACCGGTCCTTCAGAAAAGACTGGGAGAGAATTGTCCACTGGCATCCATTGTCCAGCTCAGCAATATGCTCCCCATCCTCAGCATTCACTATCCCAGGGACATGTGGCAGAAGGAGAGGAGATAATAGAGCGAGAGGCAGTGGGAAAAGTTCTGAACTCGGGACTTACAGTGTGATCCTATTCAGTGAGGCTCCGTCTGTTCAGGTAGTGACCACTAGGTGTCACTGTTGAACAAAGTTGATCCCAGAACTCTCCTAGTCCCAGCAACAAGCCTTGACTAGGTGCCTACTATGTGTCAGGCACTGTGCTAAGCCTTAGCTGGGGATACAAAGAACGGCCCGACAGACAGCCCCTGCCCTCAAGGAGCTCACAGTCTAATGGAAGAGACAACATGAAAATAATCTGTGCAAACATGCTACGTCCAGGAATGAAGGGGATTCAAGAAAGGCTTCCTATAGAAGGGGGGATTTTAGCTGGGCCTAGAAGAGATCCAGGGAAGCCAGGAGGAAGAGATGAAGAGGGACAGCATTTCAGGAGGGGGGGAGGGGGGGAGAGAGCCCAGAGATAGAGGCAAGAGAATGGGGGGCAGGGTGCTGACCTGGAGAGACCAAGGGCTTGAGGGACCGGAGGTTACCAGGATGAAGAAGGAGGTTTGCTGTTTTATTTCCTCCTAGGAATCTGGGTGAAACTGTCTCCCCTGGGATCAAGTGTGGCTACAGCCAAGAACTTGCTTTCTAGCCTAGCAATGAAATGCCCTTGTCTCCTAATGGACTTCTTTTTCTGCTATTTTAGGGAGCTTAAAGATGCAGATCAAGAAAATCACAAATAGAGCTTCTGAGCCCCAGATGAGAAATGAAGTCGAATCCCTAGAACAGAGCCTGGTCCCTGGGACACATCGGTACTTTGGTGTCCGCCAGAGAGTTACTGGAGGCTTCATTTCCCCATTCTAGGTGCAGAATACAAAATAGGCATTAAATACAAACATTCACGGCCATGGATTCATGTATTCTTATATAAAGCGAAAATCAAGACAGAGACAAAGCTGATACTCTAAGAGCCCAGCTCCCCTGGGGAGGGCCAAAGCAAAATGCTTTCCTACAGCCAGGCAGGCCCAAGGCTCAGAGCACCCAGTGGAGTAGCGGCTGGAGTGTGGGCTGGGTAATAATGATAAATGCTGCTGCTGCTGCCTCATTCAAAAAGCCCTTTAAGGTCTGCAAACAGTGCTGCAAGCATCATTACAGCTTCACAACACTGACAGGAAGGACTAGGCCCTCTTATCATCCCCATTTTACAGGTGAGAAAACTGAGTCTCAGACTACTGAAGTGACTTGCCCAGGATGAGTGGATGTGTCAGGGACAGAACTTAAACTCAGGCCTCCTGAGGACAATCTGCTTCTCAATCTGCTCCAGCATGCTGCCTCTTCCAATCCAAAGCTATAAGAGCAAAAGCCATTTCCCATCAGATTAATGGTATCATGCAAACTCTAAGAATAAACACTTAGCACTTCAAAGTTCATGCCTTCTCGTTTCATCCTCGCACTTATCCTGGGAAAGAGGTGCTATTATTATCCTCATTTTACAGATAAAGAGATTAAGGAAGAGGGTAAGTGACTTGCCCAGAGTCTCACAGCTAGTAAGCTAAGGCTAGGTTGGATTTGAACTCAGGTCTTCTGTGCACTTCAGTGCCCCATAGCTGTCATAGAACAAAAAGTTCTGAAAGAAAAACTGTGAATTGTTGTGTAAGGGAAATATTAGGATCTCGGATTTATAAGTGGATAGAACTAATTCCACAAGGCTTAGTTGAAATTCACTGGCCTAGCAGAACTACACGTACTACAATCTCTAAGTCGCCGGTTGTTGAACACATCTGAGCTGACTTCCCTGCCTCTGGAAGTCCATGAAGCTGCCTGATACCCTGCTATGTTCAGCAGCAGTAAATATCACTTTGATCTGTTTTCCCTTTCCATCTGATACACTTCATAATTTAATGAGATTGGGGGGGGGAGCTTGTGAAAGGACAGCCAGAGACTCAGAGTCATTGGGTCGAAGAGGATGCACTGGGGAGTAAAGTGCAAAAAATCCAGAAAGCCAGGAGGTGGCTGGGTGAGGAAGGGCTTTGAACGCCAGAGGATGCCAGAGGAGCACCCAGCGACGCTCCTGCTTTGAATGACCCACGTTCCGTTTTTCTCACACCGAGTTTGAAGATGTGCCACTGGAAGCGCTGACTCCCTCTTCTCCGAAAGCGGCCAAGGTTTCCAACCCGGCCCCTCGTCGACTCTGGCAGTCTGCGGGGGGGGGGGGGGGGGGGGGGGGGGGGGTTTTTGGGGGGGGGGGGGGGGGCTGGGGCTCCTGGGAAGGTGGGGGATGGGGGGTTTTAGTGAGGGGTGAGCTCGAGAAGGCACAGAGGTCAGGACTAAAATGGAGTGGGGGGCTTCCCAAGCGCCGGTCCGCAGGAGGCTAAGAGGCTCTCCCCTCCCCACAGCGGGCACCCAGGCCGCCCCTCCTCCTGCGCCCCTCCCCACTTCACGCTGCTCTCAAGAAAGTTAGGAAAGGACCCTGCCTTCTCCCGATTGCCATGCACCCGCTCCCACTGGAGAAGGAGGAGGAGGATTGCGGCTGATACCATGCATTCGCCTCACACACACTCACTCACACACGCGCACACACACGTACACAGGAGGAGGGGGAGGGGGAGGAGAGGACCTGGAGGTCTAGGGGGACGAGGGAGGAGGGGGAGGGGGAGGGGGGAGCCTCCAGGTGGCCGCGTCAGGCCGGACTGTCCCCCTGAAGGCAGTAGATGGAAGCGGGCAGCGGAGCCCGGCGGCTGATACCATGCATTCGCCCCACCTCACACACACTCACTCACGCGCACACACACACACTTACACAGGAGGAGGGGGAGGGGGACGAGGGGGATGAGGGGGGAGGGGGGCGAGGGGGGAGGGGAGGAGGGAGCCTCCAGGTGGCCGCGTCAGGCCGGACTGTCCCCCTCAAGGCAGTAGATGGAAGCGGGCAGCGGAGCCCGGCGGCTGATACCATGCATTCGCCCCACCTCACACACACTCACTCACTCACGCGCACACACACACGTACACAGGAGGAGGGGTGAGGGGGACGAGGGGTGAGGGGGTGAGGGGAGGAGGGGGGAGGGGGAGGAGGGGGAGGAGGAGGGAGTAGGGGGACGAGGGGGGAGGGGGGCGAGGGGGAGGGGGAGGAGGGGGCGGTGGGAGTCTGTCCCCTCCGAGTCCGGGAAGGCTCTGCACCAGCCAGCCCAGGCGGCCAGGCAGGGACGGGGAAGACTTACTCGCGCCCGGCCAGAGGCCAGGATCCACGCCAGGACCAGGACCAAAGTCAGGGCTCGGTGTGGCATGGGCTTCCTCAGTGGCTCTCTCGGTGAGCGCACGCACCGGGGACGAGGAGCCGCCGGCTAGGCAGCGGCTTATAAAGGGCGGAGGCGGCGTCGTCCCATCCCGGCGGTCCAGTCCATTCGCTGCTCTGCCGGCGTCTCGTGACCGCGGTGCCCACGCCGATGTGGGCCGAGGCCGGACACGCCTCCCGACACCTCCTCTTCGCGGAGGCGGGCGGGGCCGGGCGCTCCTGATCTGAGCGCGAGAATGGGGAAGAGGTCCCCTGGGACCGAAAGCTCCTCCGGCCCCGCCGGACGGCTCCGAGGCCGTTGTCCGCTCGGAGTCTCCCCGCGGAGAGGCTGCGGGGAGGACCCCGCGCGATAACGAAACTCCGGCGGAGACGGGCCGGCTCCCGAAGCCCTTGTCCGGTCGGTCCTCCGCGGAGGCCCCGAATGCGACCCTCCCGGGACGCCCACGTATCTGCCCAGAACGTCCCCAGCCACGGGCCTCCGGAGCCCTGCGGGGGGGAGGAGGGGCGGCGGTGGTGGGCACGAGCGAGCCAGGACCGAGGCGGTCTGCCACACACCCGGCCTCAGTGGGCCTCCTGGCCTACCCCGCCTTTGCTGCGGGCTCTCCAGCCCCCGGGCAGGGGCCACGGGCCGAGAACAGACCGAATTCTTTCGCCCCCCGGCAGCCCTCCACGTACCGGAGCTGAGCCCTGTCTCGTGGTCCCGGGTGCCTCTTGTCTTGGCTCGGCCTGGCCCTTTCCCTCCGCTGAGCCTTCCCACCAGGATCCGGCTTTTCCATTTCCTCTGGGTTACGTTTAACACACATCTTTAATCCCTCTCCCCAACTTAATTGTATTTGATTTTTTCCAATTACACGTAAAGATAGTTTTCAATATTCACTTTCATGAGATTGTGAGCTCCAAATTTTTTTCTCCCTCCCTCCCCTCCCCAAGACTGCTTGCAGTCTATTATAGGCTATACAAGTACAATCGTATCAAACGTATTTCCACATTAGTTGTGTTGTGAAAGAAGAATCAGAACAAAAGAGGAAAACCACGAGAGAGAAAAAAAAAAGGAGAATATAGTCTGCTTCCATCTGCACCCAGATTCCATAGTTCTTTCTCTGGATGTGGACAGCATTTTCCATCATGAGTCTTCTGGGGTTGTCTTAGATCCTGGCATTGCTGAGAAGAGCTAAATTTATCAAAGTTAGTCATCGAACAGTAACATACTTTCTAAAAAAGCTAATTAGGGAACAGATTTGCTGTTCTTTTTTGTTCTTTATAAATCCTTTTTTAAAATTATTTTATATATTATATATTTTTATGTTTATTTATAAACCCTATATAAATTCTTTTTTTGTTCTTTACAAATTGAAATGTTCATGTTTATTGTTGATAAAAAAGACAATTTCTTTTTTAGGACTGAGGGTTTTAGTCTGACAGCCAGTCAACAAGCATTTATTAGACACCTGTTATATGCCAGGCACTGGGGTTTTTTTTGTTTGTTTCTTCTGAGGCCATTGGGACTAAGTGACTTGCCCAGACTAGCCCACAGCTAGGAAATATTATGTGTCTGAGGCCGGGTTTGAACTCTCAGGTCCTCCTGACTCCAGGGCCAGTGCTCTATCCACTGTGCCACCTAGCTGCCCCCAGGCGCTGTATTCAGAACGGGGGATACAGAGAAAGCAAAAAGACAGTTTTCTGCCCTCCAGGAGCTCCCAGTCTAATGGAGGAAACAACATGCAACCAACTGTACCCAAGAGACAGATGGAGGGTAAAGGGAAGGTCGTGGTAGAGGGGCTGCGCCAGGAAGTGGAGCGGAGGGGTTCTTGCCCGAGGAGGGATTTGCCCTGGGTTTTCCAGGAAGCCAAGGAAGGGGAGGAGGAGCCAGGGAAGCGTGGCTGTGAGGAGCAGAGAGTGGCCCGTGTTGGCACGTTGTAAAGTCCGCGGAGGGCCTTGAGGAGACTGCTGGAGCAGGAGGGGGCCAAGGCGGGGTCCTGGGCGCGTCGGGAGCCCCTGGAGCTAGGGATGGGGGTGACCTGCTTTAGGAGGATCACTGGCACCTGAGTGGCGGAAGACAGACAGAAGGATTCTTCCCGGCCATATCCTCCATTTCTTTGGCAGGAAAGCTCCTACCTATCTCTCTAGTCCCTCTTCTGATCTGGAGACGTTTGGGGGTTTTTAAGCCCGGTATCGGACTTTACATTCAAGGCCGCCAGGGCTCTCCTCAATCTCTCGTCTCTCTCTCTTACTAGGCATGCTTCCCAACTTTGGGTCCTTGGGAAACTGGTTCTCGTGCTACTGGTGTCTTTATCCATCGTTGGTTAAAACCTTAAACAGCACAGGACGTGCCGAGCACTGACCACTAGAATTTTCCACTTGATAATTTACACCAAGGTGACCAAGAACCATTAGGGACTACCCAGGGGCATCGTTCAAACAGTTCTAAGTCTGTTTCTCAACCACATCTGTCTTTTAAAAAAATCTGAATCTGCTGAAATCGAGGTAATCTAAACCAACCCTCTCCTGATTGACCTGCCAGTTAGGAACCCTATTTAAGAACTTCTTGGATGGAAAAGAAAAACGGTTATTAAAGTACTTTGTATGCTGAACCCTGGAGACGGACAGAGAAGTGAGATGCTCTTGGCTCTCAAGGAGCTGATGTTCTAATGGGGGGCAGTAAGAAACAGAGGAGGATTGAGACACAGAGGACATGGCAAGGCCTGGTATCTCTTAGGGTACACGGTCAGGAAGAGAAGATCTGGTCTGATCTGGTCGGGTGGGGCTCCAGCGGGCTCCAACCTTTAGTGCCCTGTGACAGTCTCTGAGTGTGGGATTTGTAGATGGCACCACTGGCAGAGAGAGGGAGCCCGTGCAGGTCTGGCAGTCTGTTTTCTCCAAATCCAGTGTGCATGCCAGACCACACTTGACTTTCTCATGTGTTTGAAGAGGTCAATTTCGCCCCCTCTCTTATCCAGCTCCCAGCAACCAGTTTCCCCACATTGGTAAGAATCACACGCAGAAGGGGCAGCTAGGTGGCACAGTGGATAGAGCATCGGCCCTGGATTCAGGAGGACCCGAGTTCAGATCTGTCCTCGGACCAAACACTTGACACTTACTAGCTGTGTGACCCTGGGCAAATCACTTAACCCCCATTGCCCAATCAAAAACAAAACAAAAACAAAAAAAAGAATCACATGCAGAATAGACTTGCTCCTTGGTTCCTCAGCCTCCTGAAGTACTGGATTATCACGAAGGTGAGATCACTACCATTAGTTGCTATGTTTTTGGTAGGGAGAAAGAAAAGACTTACAAATGCCTGGCTAATCCAACACCCCTGAACGTGGCAGACAATGTCACTGTGCTAGGCATCTGGTATGTTTCCTGAAATCTGCAACTATTTCCCTCTATTTCTGTCCACAGCCTGGGAATATACTTGGATAACAGAGTCCTGTCTGTTTCTCCCTCCAGCCATCTTCACCCAAATGCTGCTCTCTGGCCCCTTGATTCCTCTTGTGTGAGGAAAAGATGCATGGGTCAAAGCCCCACTACGACCACACAGCCTCCGGACCTGGTGATAATTGGGCCCAAGAGCCCCAGGAAGAGCAGTGCCTCCCGCCCCCAGACCACCAGCCCTGCTTCTAGCCTGACCCCTTCAGCTATCAAGAGAATCCACCCTTGAAGAGAAGGGGCTTGCCTTCTCCGCCATCGCCAACATTGACCGCTGACCAACTGCCATGAAGGGGCAAGTAAGGCCGTAGGGAGTAACAGAGAAAACCTCCCCCCTTCCCCAGACCGCTGGCTCAGCTTCCAGCCAAGTCATGGGAAATCTGCAAAGATGAGCCTGGTGATTCCTCTGCATGTGCTAACCCCACCCCCCTCACCTCGTGGGAGGCCCCTGCTCCTGCCGACCTAAAAGTAAAAGTGCCCACTGCCAAATTCCTTGTCACCATTAAATGGCTCAACATCAAACATGAATATGGCTTTATTAATGGACAGGGATAGGTTCTACATCTGGATTTCATGGGCACAGGGAATACCTGGGTGAGGAAGCTGTCTATACCAATGCTGGCTGGCACCATTTCTGCAACTTACAATCTCAGAATCACTTAGGGGCACGAAGAGGTTAAATGGGGGCAGCTAGGTGGGGCAGTGGATAGAGCACCGGCCCTGAAGTCAGGAGGACTTGAGTTCAAATCCAGCCTCAGACCAAACACTTGACACTTACTAGCTGTGTGACCCTGGGCAAGTCACACTTAACTCCAATTGCCTAAAAAAAAAAAAAGCAAAAAAAAAATTAAATTAAGACATTAAATGACTTGCCCAGGGTGACAGTGTATCAGGACTTGACATGAGTCTTTCTACGAGCAGCTTAATAGTTCAGTGGATAGAATGCTGGGCCTAGAGTCAAGAAGACCCAAGATACTTACTAGCTGTGTGACCTTGGGCCAATCATTTAACTGCTATTTACATCAGTTTCCCCATCTTTAAAATAGGGATAATAATAACACCTCCCTCCTAGGGTTGTCATGAGGATCAGATGAGACCACATTTTTATATGGGAGGAAAAAGCATAGAATAATTATAATTTTGTTTCTTATATATCAAATTTCTAAGCATACCGTGTTACTGCCAAATACCAAGTGTATTTTGTATGAAGGTATGATTTTACTTACAGGGTGTCAGACATCACAATTATCCACTTTCTTTTATTTTTAATTCTTTTGGTTTTGTTTGACTGATTCTTGATGTCTCACGGAGTCATTGATTTCCACTCGCCCAATTCTAATTTTTAAGGAATCATTTTCTTCAGCGAGCTTTTGTACCTCCTTTTGCATTTGGCCAATTCTACATTTTAAGGAATTCTTTCCTTCAGTGGATTTCTGTGTATCTTTTTTCCATTTCTGTGCTTCCTTTACCAAGCTATTGACTCTTTTTTTCCCCACGATTCTCTTGCATCACTGCCATTACTTTTCCCAATTTTTCTTCTACCTCTCTTGTTTGATTTTTAAAACCCTTTTTGAGTGCTTCCAGGAGTTCTTTTTGGGCTTGAGACCAATTCGCAT